GATGAGGTCGAACGGTCATAAACTACTGCAAGACTGTTTCAGGCTGGACGTAAGGAAGAATTTCTTTACTGTCCGAGCCCCCAAGGTCTGGAACAGCCTGCCATCGGAGGTGGTTCAAGCATCTACATTGAACACCTTCAAGAGCAAATTGGATGCTTATCTTGCTGGGATCCTATGACCCCAGCTGACTTCCTGTCCTTTGGGTGGGAGGCTGGACTCGATGATCTTCCAAAGTCCCTTCCAGCCCTAATATCTATGAAGTCTATGAAAGCATCTACTTCAAAATATCTTGGGCAGTAAACCTTTGCTTTAATTACCCCGAAGGGTGGGGGTGGGGAGGGGTGCATCCACATGAGATGTTTACTGCACAGGACTAGTTAGCTGCTCAGGGAATGTCTTGGCATCTACATGTGTGCCACTATTAGTCTAGAGTAGATTAATTTACTCCACAGCACTTGTAAAAAACTTCACTGCAGTACACATGTAGAAGCTGGAGAGGCTGGCTGGGGTAGGATGGTGCTTCAGTGTCGGGGCTGCCTGCTGGCTAGTCCTGCACTGAAGCTCCCTTATGCACCAGCCAGTCCCTCTGCCCCGGTTCCATGTGCTGCACATGCATAAACTGAAGAGCTTATTGCTCTGGAGTTAATTGCTTCCAGGTGCATGTTCAAACAGTGTGCCCAGGAGCAATAAACTCTGGAGCAATAAGATCCTCAGTTTATTCATGCACAGTAACAGCATATGTAGACGTGTTCATGATGATGCATCAAATGGTCAAATATTTCTTTGACATCTCTCTTTGAACCAAGATACCAGAATCAGGATTTTGGCTTTATTGTTACACTGTAGAAATGGTTTGATGCTGCATAAGACACACAGGTACAGTCCATGATGCCAGCAATATACTGAGAAAAGAAAGTTTTGTCCCTTTATCTAGGCAAGGTTCTTTGAGTAGGTGTGATATCTTTTATTAGACCAAATGACTAGTTTGAAACATTTTTCTTGGCAAGCTTTCAGGCACAGTCAAGGCATGGGGAGTTCTTCAGGCATGGGGAGTCTCTGCTGTTCTGAGACTCTAAGAAACGAAAGAAGCTAAAAGTGTGGCAGGATGTAGGATAAAATGTGTATAGGTAGAATTAGAAAGACAAAAGGTGAGGCAGAGAGGTGAAGCAGAGAGGGGAGAGGGAGGGAGAAGAGAGCAGGGGAAAAAAGGCTGAAGGGAGACAATGCAGTGATAGAGTACAAGGTAGAAAAGAGGCTGTCAGGCAGGCACCTGGTGAATCAGGTGTCAGGCAAGTTGTAATGTGTCATAAAACCAATGTCTACATTAAGTCTATGATTTTTTGTATCCAGTGGATTTATGATGTGAAGTTCATAGACTTGTCTATGAAAGGTGTTTTGTAAGTTCCCTTTGAGGATTAGAACTGAGAGATCCAAGAGGGAGTGATTGTCCTGTGAGAAGTGTGCACCCACAGGTGTTTGGGTATTCTTGTCTTTGATAGATTTTTGGTGTGCGTTCATTCTGGTGTGCAGTTGTTGTTTGGATTCTCTAACATATTTTCCTTCAGGGCACTGGATAAAATAAATAACATTTCTGGAGGTGCAGCTGTAAGATCCAGAAATGGTGATGGTCCTGTTGTGAGGTGTAGTTATAGTGAGGCTGGTGAAGATAAGCTGGCAGGTTTTGCATTTCTCATCCTGGCATGGTCTGGATTCATTTGTCGATGTGGCTTGGGTCATAGAGAGTTTTCTTTTGGTGATAAGGTTAGCAAGGTGCTTGTTTGAAGGCTAGGATGGGTGGTTCTGGAAAGATCTCTTTAACAATTGGGTCTTCTTCAAGTATGGGTTGCAGTTGTTTGAGGATTTTCTGTGTAGGTTCCAGGGAAGGGTGTTATGTCATAACTAATGGTGTGCAATTTGTGGGGATTTTCTTTTTATACTGCAGTAAATGTACATATGGTATTCAGGTGGTTCTTTCAAAAATGTGATCTATCTCTCTGGAGGAGTGTTCTTGTTGGTTGAAGCTGAGATTAGTGTGGTGCTGGTCATGGGTATTCTCCATTGACTCTCTGCATATTTGGTGGTATTGGAGAACTTGGCTGTATATTAATTTTCTTGGTGTGTTTGGGGTGATTGCTGATTCTGTGTAGATATGTATGTTGGTCTGTAGGTTTCTTATATATGGTGGTTTGAATTTTACCATCTTGAACTAGCTTCCTTCATTTCTTGGGGTCTCAGAACAGCAGAGACTCCCCACGCCTGAAGAAGAGCGACTGAGTCTGAAAGCTGGCCAAAATTGTTTTTCCAACTACTCAGTTGGTCTAATAAAGGATATCACGTCTACTCAACAGACCTTGCCTGCCTATGTCCTTAGATGAACACAGCTACAACCAAAAAACCCAGTCCCCTTTATCTTGTACTTGCATAGGCCCCACTACTCAGACATACACAACTGAGGTTTGGTCATAGTGTACCATTCAAGAAAGGCATATTAAATACAGTGCCATTATGTTTTGGTCATACAATAAGGATAATTAATCTTATATTCAAAATTTAAATGAGTACAACCAGCATAACCATGATGTTTACATTGAAATGTTGGGCATTGTCCCGGCAAATATAATTTGCTCATTTAATTTCTATGCCTAGTTCAGTAGTAGCCAATGGGCTGGATGAGTGGCATGGGACCAGTCTATGGGTTGGATAAGACCCCATGTGCCCATATTGGGCCCTGCACCATGTCCAACATGATTGAGCTCCACACTGCCCCCACCCTGATCAGGCTCTATGTGCCCTGATCAGGCCTATGCCACCCTCACTTTACCCTGTGCACCCCAATTGGGTTTGCTTTGCATGCTGGAATCAGGCCCTGTAACGCCCTGTGTGCCTGGGTCAGCTCCACGCCACCCTGCATTCCTGATCTAGAGTGCAGGGCCACACTATCCAGCCTGCAGAAATTTAGCAGCAGGGGAATGGCAATTAAAACCCTGGTTGCCAAATTTTGGGGCCCAGGGAGAAGCGTCATGAGCCAGCTTATGTGGCTTTGTGGGCTGGATCTGGCTTGTGGGCTGGGAGTGGAGCACCTCTGGTCCAGTTTATCAAGACAGCAGAGAAGTCCCATATCTATAGTTCCGACATCACAAGGTTATATGCATGGGTCTACTTAAATTGCAGAGAAACTAAACGATCTTTGCAGGTTGGTTGTGGCATAAATAGCAAATTCCATGGATATTTCCTGGATGTGCTCTGGCAGCACCCCCACCTTGGCATTGGAGAGGCCCTGGTGGGGGGAGAAGGAACGAGGGGGCAGCCTCTATTCTAGATAATCCTGAATTTTGCAGTTTCCACGAGATCCACAGAGCTGCGAATTGAGTAGATCCTTAGTTATATGACCTTTATATTGTTTTGTCTCAGACAATATTCATATTTGAGAATTCTGATGATCAGAGTCCTATTTATTTTCCTTCAATGAAGCTAATTGTAAACATATATAATTTACTCCCATTTCATTCAAAGTCAACATTTTGAGATGCTTATTTTCAGGCCACTGCTGCCATGTTAGGTGGTGCAATGCAGAGCAACTGCATAAAGGAAATACGTTCTCTCATGAAGTGCTAGAGTTAATCTTAGTCATGCAGGTAATGCCTGAAAATATGAAACCATAAGAGAATCCTGTCCTGGGAACTAATTTAAATTTATGCAGGTTTCAAAACTGTCTTCACAGAATAATAAATCATCGATCAATGAAAATGCACTTCTCTGGTGTTTTAATTGCAAAAAGTAGTGAGAATAACCAGTTTTTTACCAGGTCATTCTTTGCTTTTATGAAGGTTATTTTCTGCAAAAAAGTCCCTCAGGGTCATGACCCATTAAACCATGTTCTCTTGTGGGCTAGAACTGTAATCTGTATAGTAGCAAACAAGTCATGGAAATGGAAGGCACTGTATTATTTTTATCTGAACAATGTTCAAAACCCCTAACACAGCATTGTGAATAAACTCTGGGCTTGATCCTGCTTTTATTACTCCAGTGTAATTCTCATTCACTTTTAATATGCAGGAGTAGACCTGTAGTACTCAAAGGTGTGTCTACACATGTTATTAATGCTACCATAAAGGCTTACTGAACAGCAAAATACTGTGCAGTAAGCCTTCCCTGGGAGCACATTTACACATGCTCCCTATTGGGAGCAAATCTGCTCCCAATGGGAGCAGCCCAGTACAGAGCTGCTTCTACCCTGCTCTGGACCCCTGCAGCAGCCAGGGGGAGCTCCAGGTTCTCCCCAGGGTGCTAGGCTGGGGGTTGACAGAGAGCATGGGGGATGGTCCTGATGTGCATGGGGCCAGAACAGCTCTGCTAGCTGCAGTGTCAGGTGTCTCCTGGCCCTGTGCATCAGAAGGGCTCCTGATATGCATAGGACTGGGAGACAGTTGCTGTGCTCTCCCAGCCCTGTGTACATGGGAACAAGCTATGTGCTCAGTAGGGCCTTCCTGGGCAGCCAGGGGCTGGCCAGGAGCCATCCCACTTCTGAGGCAGCTTCCAGCCAGCCCCTGGCTGGGTAGGGAAATCCCCAGGAAGCCTGGGGCTGGCTGGGAGCTTTTCCACTTCTGTCCCCAGTAGCTGTCTGGCTTCTGTCTGTGGGAGCTGTCCCAGAAGCAGGACAGCTCCCAGCCAGCACCTGCTGCTCACAGATTTTTCTGCACAGCCAGAGGCAGGCTAGGAGCTGCCCAAGAAGTGAAACAGCTCCCAGCCAGCCAGCCCCCAAGCTGGGTTGGAAAACAGAGATCCCCAGTCCTGGTGCTGCGCTGGGACAGGCTGAGCAGAAAGCTACCACATCCTGGCACTGCTCGGCTCTTGGGCCCTGGAGCAATACCAAGACCCTGTCCCCTATGGCCACCTAGTGTTGGGGCTGACCAGAAGCAAATTTCATCCTGGTCAGCATCTACACATATGCTATTTCACAGTATCTACTGAACACTTAGTTTACTACCTATATTTACAGGTAGTAGCTAACTGTGCAGTAAACTAATATACTGCTCAATAAATGATGTGCGTGTGTAGATGGAGACACTTTACTGCGCTGTTGATTAATCTACTGCACTGTAAAGCATCTTGTGTAGATACGCCCAAAGGGCATGCTTACATGCTGCAATGCTAGCTCTAAACTAGCTGATACAGATATAGACCAGGTGCAGACATTATACTTTTTCCAGTTTAGGTGGTCAGAAACTGGTTTATACCTGTAACAGAACAGAAATTCAGAGCACGTAGTTTAAAAATGGCAGATCCCAGTCTAAGATAGATCTGGATGGATGTTGTATCAGACTAAACTGATTTAGGTTAACCCGGTCTATCAAACTTCAGTACCAGATCCCCTCCCGTGTCAGGTTGCAGTCCCCTGTTATCTCAGGCTGCTGTGCTGGTCCCTGCTAACCCTTTCTCGTAGGTTGTCTCACTGGCCTTGGCTACGATCAGCTGCTCTGAGCTGCCAGCCACAGGCAGGGGGTGAGGGGAAAGGGCACATCTGTAGCTCAGGAATTTTCTGTCTTTATACAATATCCCCAGGGGGCAGGCTCTGTGGGGGAAGGGGGGAGGGGACAGCACCCTCGTGGCTCCATTAGGCTGTGGGTACCCAGTGCAATTCCTGCAATCATGATACCTACAGTTGCACCAGGCTCCTACTGTCACTGCCTGCAGTTTGCTGGGGCTCTGGGGGCCCAGTCCTTCCTTCTTTGGGCCCCCCTTTCCTCATCACATGGTACAGGACTGTAGGTGCCTGCTGCTGAAGGAAAAAGGGGAGGGCTCTGGTCTGCTCCCTGGGGCTACACCAGCTCACACAGGACTGGAGCTGTGCATGGCTGGGCAGGTGCAGGTAGAAGGCACGGTGACCTGCCCTAACCCCCTCAGAACCTTCCCAGCACAGCTGGTGGGCTATGGAACTGTGTGACAGGGGCATCTTCCCCCTGCTGCTGTCTAATGGGGTGCTCCTGGCCCTGCTGCCCAGTGTGGGTCTCCTGGGCTGCCCAGCACACCTTGCTGGCAGCTGCTGATGTTGGGCTCTGGCAGCACACACCGGGCACCCTGGGGAGCTTGCACCAGATGGCAGGGACAGAAGCACTAGAGGGGAAGTTTGGGCCAGCTGCCCACCATAGGCCTCCTGGACTGCCCAGCACATCTTTCTGGAACTTGGCACCCACAGCAGCTGGTGGGATGCTCCAGGTGGCAGGGCCTGATCCTTTCTTCTATGGAACATTCCTGAACCCATTGTCCAACATGGGCCTTCTGGGCTGCCACTGTCAGGTGCATGCCCCCTGGCCCCTGTCACTGCAGGCCCTCCCCTGCACCCAGACCTGGGCTTCTGGGGGCCCATGGAGGGGGTCACCATGGCACACCTGGCAGCCCGGCTGGCAGTGGCAGCTGGGCATGCCATGGTGCTCTCCCCTGGGGGCCTGAAACTGGGCATGGGAATGATTCAGCAGTGGCAGTGAGGGCTGAGGGCATGTTCCTGGCAGTCAGCCAGGGATGGCCCCCACTTCGCTGCCCTTGGCAATCTCTGGCACTCTGGGAAGCATACGAGAGCACTGCACCCCACCTTCTGGCCTCAGCCAGTGCTGGCATTTGTGTGTCTCCCCCCACTGAAGGGTGAATGTGAGTTCTGTTTGCTCCTGATCCAATCTATGCAACTTAGAGAAACCGGTATAGATTGGATCGATTCTGCCTTAGTCTTTTCGAAAGTCTGTACTTAGCCACACAGCACAGCACAGTGTTGTGCAAAGGCACTAGCTTAGGTTCCAGAATCAGTATAACCAAATTAGTGCAATGCCCTTCCCAGGTTAATTAGACGGAGCATTACACTAAGATGATTATACTGCTTCAGATTCCTGAGGCAGCTTGCATATCTCTACCTGGCACTGTGCTGTGCCCAAAGAACTGGAACTTCCAGAAAGTAATCAGCAGAATGACCTTTTTTTTGTGAAAGTTCCGTAGGTAACATGGGATTGTGCTTAGATAAAACTATCTCAAGCAGGGAATGGGTTAAATAACCCCCTGAGGTCCCTTTCAACTTGACTTTTCATGATTCTGTGATCTGTAGGTGTGTGATAAGCAGAGGGCCAAACAATTCCTTTCACTTGGGCCATTAGGATGATGGAACAACAGTCAGAGAAAGTGGAGCCCTCAGGCACAGTAAAGTTGCTAAACTCACTCAGCCAGCTAAGTGCAAACCCAGTGTCTTAATAAGTACCTCCCAGGCAGGGTGCAAAGGCCAGCTTGTGTGTAATACCAAGCTGCAGAAGCCTTCTCAAGGGATAAAATCACCTCTGCTGTGTCCCAGGACAACTCTTCATAGTTCATTTTTGGGAGAAAAAGAGTGAAATAGAATCTTTTTATGTGTTGATGTGTCGGGAAAAAAATGCCTAATAGCTGCCACGGCAAAGCTGAGCTGCTCTGTTCACCCTTTTCCAATGGCAATTTCCAGCCAAGGAATTTATAACCCAGATGGGGCAGGAATGTAGCTGACCTGCATGCAGGTAGATCGAGCTGTTTATCTTTGTTCAGTGAACAGCTCTGAGTCAGATATTCCTTAGGGTGAGCTGGCCCTTCCAAATGTGGTTTAAGGCAAATCCATGCCCTAATGCTGAAAAACACATTAGGTTTGTTTTGGAAACACACTCCTTCAGAGTGGCCTGGCTGACAAACTAATTATACCTTGTTCTGGTGTTTGATTGCTCTGTCTGAATGTCCTTTTGAAAACTGCTGACAACTCATAAGCACCACCCAGCAAAGCCTACAACCCTTTAGCAAAGCCTAGGTATTAATTGCTGACACAGTCAGTAAATGTGTGCTGGGCACAAGATAGCTTCTAATATGGACGAGAACAAATTGTGCTCAATACCATATTAGTAACCATGGTAACAGGCATTTCACAAATGCTATGCAAAGAGGAGAAAAGGAAGGTTATATTTATCAGATAACTTATTTGTAATTGAGAATTTGACCTGCTATAATATTAAACAGTGTGTGTCTGTCCATGAATGAAAGGATGCAATGGAGAGAGCCTGATTTCTGTATCCATGTCAATCAAATCCTACACTACTGCATCTTTGGTATTACTTTTTCATATATGGCCATTAGCAGAGAAGGCAAAGTACTTTACCCTGCCTTCTGCTGACTTCAGACTAACAGGGCTAGCCTCCTTTCTCTGCTCATTAGCAGAGAAAACATTTTGAAGCTGTCACTGCTGTTCCAGTGCATAAGCTGAAATTGGACTATAACAAACACAAAGCTTTATTTGCCCCTTTAGCTACTAGTGGTGAAGGAATGGGAAAATGAAAATTTTGGAGGGGGTCCTTAACAGATTTGCTGTTACAGATTTGTTGTCTTTGTTGGTGGCTGGCTGGTTCTTTCTACGCTCCCTCTTATTTCCCCCATGAGGTGCTTTAATTCTGGTCTTCCTTTTTGTGAATTATTTCCTGGTGCACTTGGTGCAGACTTAGTAGTAAAAAAATGCACTTTTAAATTCTTGACACACATTTGGGACTTAAAATCATAGAAATCTGGGCTCTCACTTCAATGCCCCTGCCAACTAGACATTGAGCCATTGACTACTACCCTCTAAGTCTGATGATCCAACCAGTTTTCTATCCACCTTACAGTCCATTCATCCAACCCATACTTACCTTACCCATAAGAATGTTGTGGGAAACCATATCAAAAGCCTTGCTAAAGTCAAGGTATACCGCACCACTGGTCTCTCCACAGCCACAGAACCAGTAATCTCATCATGGAAGGCCATTAGGTTGGTCAGGCATGACTTGCCCTTGGTGAATCCATGCTGACTGTTCCTAATCATCTTCTTCTCCAACAAGTGTTTAGAAATGGATTCCTTGAGGACCTGCTTCATATTTTTTTCCAGGGACTACAGTGAGGCTGACCAGTCTATAGTTCCCAGGATCCCCCTTTTTCCATTTCTTAAATATGGGCACTATATTTGCCTTTTACCAATCATCTGGGACCTCTTCTGATCACTATGAGTTTTCAAATATGGATGGCCAATGGCTGTGCAACCACATCAGCCAACTTAGCACCTTTGGGTGCATCCTGTCCGGTCCCATGGACTTGTATATGTCCTGCTTTTCTAAATAGTCCCTAACCTGTTCTTTCAGCACAGTTGGCTTCTCATCTCCTCCTCAAACTGTGCTGCCAGGTGCAGTAGTCTGGGAGCTGACCTTGCCTGTGAAGACTGAGGTGAAAAAGGCATTAGATGCTTTAGCCTTTTCTGCATCCTCTATCACTAGGTTGCCTCCCCCATTCAGTAAGGGACCCACACTTTCCCTGATCTTCCTCTTGTTACTGACAGTGTAGAAACCCTTCTTGTTATCTTGTTAGCTGCAACTCCAATTGCACTTTGGTTTTCCCAACTTAATCCCTGCATGCCTGAGCAATACTCTTATACTCCTTCCTAGTTGTTTGTTCAAGTTTTCACTCATAAGCTTCCTTCTTGTGATTTACTTTACTGAAGAGTTCCCTGCTAAGCCAAGCTAGTCTTCTGTCATACTTGCTAGTCTTCCTGCACGTCAGGATGGTTTGTTCCTGCACTCTTGGTAAGGTTTCTTTAAAGTACAGCCAGATATCCTGGACTCCTCTTCCCCTCAGACTTGCTTCCCAGGGGATCCTGCCCATGAGTTCCCTGAGCAAGTTAGTCTGCTTTTCTGAAGTCCAGGGTCCTTACTTTGCTGCTATCCTTCCTTGGTTTCCTCAGGATCCTGAACTTAATCATCTTATGGTTGCTGCTACCTAAGCTGCCATCCACTACTACATTCACCACCAATTCTTCCCTGTTCGTGAGCAACAGGTCAAGAAGAGCATGGCCCCTAGCTGGATGCTCCAGCACTTGTACATGGAAGTTGCCCCAGCACTCTCCAAAAACTTCCTGGATTGCCTGTGTACTGCTGTATTGTCCTCCCAGTAGTTGTCAAGGAGTTTGATTTCTCCCATGAGAACTAGGGCCTGTGATTGGGAAACTTCCAATAGCTGCTTGAAGAAAGCCTCGTCCATCACATCCTTTTAGTCTGGTGGTCTGTAGCAGTCCCCCACTACAGCATCTCCTTGTTGCTCTCCCCTCTGACCGTAACCCAGAGACTTTCAACAGGCCTATCTTCACTTTCATACTGGACCTCTGAGCAATCACATGGCTCTTTTACATAAAGTACAACTCCTCCTCCTCCTCTTCTCCCCTGCCTGTCCTTCTTGAACAGTTTGTACCCATCCATGACAGTGTTCCAGACACGGGAGCTATCCCACCAAGTCTCTGTTATTCCAGTCACGTCATAGTTCTGTGACTGCACAAGGACTTTCAATTCTTCCCACCTGTTTCCCAGGTTTTGTGCATTCGTGTACAGGCACCTAAGGTAACTAGCTGATTGCCCTGATTTCTCAGGAAGAATGAGAACACCTCCCCTTTTGCCCCCTCCTGCTCACACTTCCTCAAGATCTCCTGATTCTCCACTTATCTCAGGGCTTTGGTCTCCTTCCCTTGGTGAATCTTGTTTAAAGCTGTCCAAACTAGGTTAGCAAGCCTGTCTTCAAATATGCTCTTCCATCTTTGTTAGATGGATCCTGTCTCTTCCTAGCAATCCTTCTTCTTGGGACATCATCCCATGTTGAAAAAAGTGAAAGTCCTGCTGGCGTCACCATCTGCGTAGCCAGGCATTGATCTGTAGGATATTCCCGCTCCTGCCTGGGCTCTCTCCCTTGACCAGAAGGATCAAGGAGAATACCAATTGAGCCCCCAGTTCCCTTCACTCTTGCATCCAGAGCCCTGTAGTCAAATTTGATCTGTTCAGGGTCTCCCCTGGCAGTATCACTGGTGCCCACATGAATGAGCAGCATGAGGGTCGGATGAGTCTCGGTAATCTGTCCATGACGTCTCAGATCCAGGCTCCAGGCAAGCAGCTTATCCCCAGAGACAACAGGTCAGGTCAGTATATAGATGCCTCTCTCCCGTGCAGAAGGGAGTCTCCAACCACCACCATCTGTCGGTTCTTATTGGTGGCAGTGGTCTCAGTCCTTCCCACCTTGGGGAGTCCTGACTTGTCCTTCTCCACCAATGAAACATGATCCTCCACCTCTGTTCCTAGGGCTCTGTATCTATTCTCCAGGCAAACTGCTGCAGGTGGAGAGGAAGATTTCTGCTTGCTGCCAGAGATCACAAGCTTCCAGCTTCCACTTTCCATGGAGTCAATGTCCCCTCCCTTCTCTAGCACTGCCTTTGGCAGTCCTTCCTCCACAATCCTTGAAGTCTTCTCCAGCATCAAATCAATAAACTCCTCATGGCAGAAGGTGCTTTGAAGCCTCACCACCTCCTCCTACAGTTCTCTTGCCTGCTCCCTGAGGGACACCACCCAGAGGCACTGCTCACATTGCACACTTCCTGATATGGCTATCACCAGAAGGACAAGCCACAGCCTCCGCAGTGCCAAACCTGGACCTGGGTGGAAGCTTTGATGGTGAGTGGTCCTGCCTGGACAGACACCTCACAGGTGCAAGCAGAGGCAGTGGCAGTGGCTCTGGTGTTGCAATGTCCTCCAGCCATTTCCCTGCCTCCTTTGTTTTACTGCCCTTCTTCCAAGCACACCTTCCCTAGCAAACTCACTTGTAAGCTGCCCTGTTTTCTGTTCCTTTGTCCTGAAAGGTTCCTTTTCCCCTGCTTCCTCTCTCCAAGCTTCAAGGCTCCCCCTCAAAGAGGTAGGGGGAGGGGGCAAACTGACTTGTGAACTGACCAGCAACCTGCCTGCAAACTACTTCCCTTGTTGGCTGCCCCTGTTGGCTTGGTCATAGAGTCTCCTTTCATACCCTGATGGGCCTGGACTGGTTCTGCCCCCTTGTTAGGGCTTTTGTCAGACACAGGCACCAATCACCCAAAAATCACTTAACTAGCAACTCTCCCAGGTTCTCAGAGCACATACCCAAAACACACGCAGCCCGCCAGACATACTCTCAGAAAGCCACACACACAGGCAGTGCTGGATCACTTGCCTTCCTGAGGCAGGATCTGGTGCCTCGCTTTCTTCCTGTTCCCCTTCCTCTTCCTCCCTGCAAACTGCTTTCCCTGTTTTCTGCCCCTGTTCACACAACTTGTCTGCTCCTTTGTGTCACTGGTTCATTGGCTGCAGATGCACTTTGTTAAAGTGTCATTACTTCCTTGCACCAAGGACTTGGCTGTTTGGCCACGAATTCCAGTGTATCTTATACCGTGTTATGCAAGTAGGAAGACAGCAAAGATGAATGGGATGTGATAGTGGTTGTAGAATGTTTTTTTAGGTCTGGAAACCAGTCATCAAGCCCAGCTGAATCTGATGTCTCTGATCTACTACCAGGCAAAAACCTCTGTTACACTCTTTGGGCATGCTATTTTACAGCCCAGCATTTTTTAATTAATTTATTTATTTTTTGCCATGGAGAGATCCCAGTATACAAATAAAATGCTGCTGAAAAAAATAGTGGTGCATGCGCAGCAGCCTGCACCACCAGAAATGGAACCTGGTTGGCCAGAGCCATGCTCTGGTTGCTGACCAGGCTCCAAGCTGCTGGATCGCCGCCGCTGCTGCCCCAGGAGGGCCCCAGGACACCAAGTAAGGCTGCTGGGGCCAGCACAGGTGCTGCCTGCAGCCTCTTCTACCCCACCGGGGACAATTTGCTCTGCACTAACCCCATGTGCAGTGGCATGCGCAGCGCTAAAACGCAGGGGTACAAATTTGTGCTGCTGCTATTCTTGCCACAGCAACCACGTGCTCCTGCATGTGGGAATATGCCCTTTGGCTCTGTGAACACCACAGTTGCAATATAAAGCAAGGCACTTCCCTGGAGTATTATCCCTATGATGAGAAAATGCTTAAAAGCACAATAAGGCTGAGTTTGCAATGATGTTTCTTGGACCTCTTCCACTTCTTGGCAGTGTGATATGCTGGAAAGCCTAGTTAGCATTGGGCTTATCTCCAAGTTGCACATTTTTCCCTGCCCACTCTCCTTTTATGATAAGAGCTGCAAAGTGAGTACATGGTTTTTGAAGAAGTGCTCCCTCTGGTGTGAATTTCTAATAGAGAATCCACCAAGAAGCACAGTAGGGTATGTGTTGCCTACAACTCCTCAGTTCTGCCTGTACCTCCAGAGCCCTTAATCACTTCACACCCATAAGGTGTGTCCAGATGAGTGGGAACATAGGTGGATACCTGGGCTGGGGTCACACCACACTTGCAGGCATTACCCACACTGCTACTTTACAGTGCGGCAGGGTTTTTTGACCCCAGGAAATCCCAGGGTCAAAAAACCCCATACCAAAAAAAAGCGTGGAGGCGCATGTGCTGCAGGAGCAACATAGCTGCAGCTCTCAGAGGCCCCCAGGGCCCCATGTGAGGCTGCTGAGGCCAGCATAGTTGCTGGCCCCAGCCTTCCCTACCCCACCTGGGGTAACCTGCTGCACATCAGAGCACACATAGCACAGGCATTCCTGGGGGACAAGTAGTAGTGGCACAAGGTGGCATGTCTGCGCTTGTCTGGACGTACCCATAGAAGGGAACTTCTGCAGGCCCTCACAGCAGGATTAGCATAAGGGCTGCTCACAGACATGGTAGAAAAAGTGCTTTACTGGAGGAAGCAGCATGTTACTTCGACCCAACTCCACAGTGTCTGTATAGTTCAGACTTTTCAGTGGGACTTTTTGGCACTTTTATCTAAAGCTGATTCATTCATCTATTAGATAAAAGCGCCAAAAAAACCCACTGAAGTGCCCAACCTATACAGACGTTGGGCGAGCTGGGTCCAACTAATGCGATGCCTCCTCTGGGCATATGTTGGGCTCGACATGGGGGAGCACGGAGTTTAAAGTAAAGTGCTGTTTTTTGTGGGGGAGGTTATGTCTGTAGGCAGCCAATGTGGAGCCATTATCTTTCCCTTTCTTCCAGTGCAGCTTACACAGTAAATGCCTATTGGCGGTGACATGGTTCTATGTTACTCTTAAGTGTGTTGCTTTTATAGTGGATGTTGCTGAATTCATGGTGTGGAAAAGTGGTGCTCAACCTCCAGCCTGCAGGCCAGATTCAGCCTGTGAAGCCATGTCATGCAGCCCATGGGTTTCCTCATGAATCCAGAAATGTAGCAGTGGGAGAGCAGTGACAGTGTGAACTGCTGCTCCCCTGCTGCCAATTTTCCAGACCCATGGAAAGCCCTGCAGTCTGGATGATGGAGCTCTTCGTGCTAGATTGTGGTAGATCTTGCCAGCACATGGCTGGATCTGGTGCATAGGGTCAGACCAGCCGACAGTCAGATCTGGTGTACGGAGTTGGACTGTATGCAGGGATGGACCAGTGCATGCAGCCAGATCCAGCGCATGGAACAGGCTGGTGTGTTGGATCACACCCATGGACAGCCCCTGTGTCACTTGTCTAGTGCTCGGGGCTGGAAGGTTGAGCACTACTGGTCTGGAACAAATTCCCAGGGAAAATATTGCTGGTAAGAAGTTGTTGCTGTTACCAGCTGTTTCTGCAAAGGGGCACTGACTGCAACTGCCCTTCTCTTTTGATGCATGCAAGTGTTTGTTTATAGCTTGTCATCCAGGTTTGCACACACTTCCTTGAACTTTTGCTCCCTTCCAGAGTGTGAAAGAAAATGGATGGAAGTCTACAGCCATTCATTTAGCATGATTTCCCATTTTGTTTTGGAGAGTTCAAAGATTTGACTAAGAAGTGTCACAAGCTTGAGAAGAAACTGAACTGGAGCTTGCACAGTGAGTTTTACAGCAGCTGCCTATCTGGTGTTAGTGCTGTCAAGCCCTAAAGAAAATTGCATGTATGAAATAAAAATAAGTGTAGATGTAAAACATTACAACAGGTAGAATTTATCTAGTAGAAATAATACATAAATTACCCACTAAAAATAATCCTCTTTTGTACACAGGCAAGATATTTATTCAACACTGACAATATAGTCTCTCCCCTTTTTACAGAGAAAAGTGCCCTACATGTTTCTTCAAAGTGGCAGCTGTTAGTTTTATCTGTAGAATGAACCACTGTACAAAATAAGTCTCTTCTCCATGTATAAAAACAGAAATAAGCTGAAGCAACACAGTACTGTTATTTTCTAAGGGCAATATTCAGTGCTGCATTTTAATGACAATTTACAGCATTATTTAATTTCTCAGGTTTCTAACACAATTACAATGATAGTTTTCTACCTAATGACAGTATGGCTAATGTAGAAGAGGAAAAATTAATTTTCTTTTCCTTGTACTTTTTCAAAATGTGTTATAAATGAACCCCATGTTAATGAGAGTTTGTGTTTTGGCAGGAAGGAAAGACTGTCATGAAAGTCCAGGACCAAAGTAAAAGGCAAGGCATATGGTAAACTGGCTAAAAAATGGTATTGGGATCCAGTAGCACTAAACCCTGCTTCATTAGGACTTCCCAGAGGTATAAGTGCTTATATAGGTACTGGTTTAGGACTGAAGCTTTCTCAATGCCTCTTTGTTCATATGTAGAGCAGGGACAATAATTTTTATTTTCCTCATAGGAGTTATATGAGGCTTAATTAATTAATATCTGTAAAGTATTGTGACCCTTGGCATTAATGCATAGCACTATTGTGCTAATATTCATTGATTTGCTTTTTAGGTTTGATGCCATTCCCTTGAAGTTAATTTCTTGAACCATGCCATTTTTCAGAAGACATGCCTCTGTCTATTCTATCTGTGGTAGAACTATAGATTTCCTCTCTAAAATTAATTTTTTTTACACACTGAAGTTTAAGTATAGAACCCCAAAATGTATACTTGCTAAGTAAGAAAGAGACTAAAATGTAGGTATTTGTAGGGAATGTATATGCTATCAGACAGATCTTTTTAAATTGAGGCACTGAATATAACCTAAATAAAAATACTTTACATTTGTTGTACTGAAATTCACAGGCCCAAGTGTGTAGCCAACATGCCTGTTCAGATGAACTCTTACTACAGGGAACTGATTGTTAGATGCTTTATTTGGTCTCTGAATTTTCCAGAAGCAGGTGATCAAGATGAGTATTTAAAAGCTCATGTCATGTTCTTAATGGCCTCACCACACCTTGTTAGATAAGTAACTATTACTAATAGACTTCCTTTCCTTATTAGGTATCTTTTAGATTTTTTTCAGAAATTCATGTCCTTTAAACCAGCAGTCAGTTTGCATTTCCTCTGTTTGACATACGGAAGTGACATTACCAGGTGATTTGACTTACTGCATTAGGGTTGTTGGTTGTAGCCATGTTGGTCTAAGGACAGGCAGACAAGGTTCTTTGGGTAAATGCGGTATCTTTTATTAGACCAACTAAATAGTTGGAAAAATTGTTCTTTGCCAGCTTTTGGGCACAAACATCCTTCTTCAGGCATAAGGAGAGTCTGTGCTTCTGTTTCTCTGTGCTCTTCTGGGGAGAATAGAGGCCAATATGCAAAATGCAGGTCTGTAAAAATGCAAGTGCCTGGCAGTGAGGTTCAAAGGGAATGGGAGGCAACAGGTGTGAGAAGGTAGTTGCTGGGGAGGGGAGAGAAGGAGGAGAAGATAATAGACTGTAGCTGGTAAAATGCAGATAGGTTATCTAAGGTTATCAGATGGCAGCTAGGGCTGTGCGAAGCTTCAGGTGCTGATTTGACTTGGAGGAGATTTGGCCCAATTCAGTGGCCAAATCTCCAAATCTGAATTGAATCAGAGGACCAATTAAAAGGACTGAATTGATTTGAAGCTCTCTGAGTAGCGGGCAGGGGATGGGGGACTGGAGGAGGGGAGAGGGGACCATGGGGGAGTCTCTGCCAGGGCCCATCCCTTGCCTGCTCCCCCAGCTCCCCTGAGCGTCCCCAACTCCCACCTGCTCTCCCAGCCCCCGCAAGGCTGCCCCGCCCACCCCAGCTCCCTGTTGTTTAAATAAAAGCCCTTACTAACTGGGTGCTGCCAGGCATGGGGGAGAAATCCCTGCTAGGCCTAGGGTCAGTGAGGAACTAGTCAGGGAACTTCTGGAGGGACTGGATGTATTTAAATCAGCTGGTCTTGATCTCCACCCTACAGTGCTGAGGGAATTGGCTGAGGTCATTGCAGGACTGCTGGCACGGCTTTACAAGCACTCATGGTGCTCTGGTGTGGTGCCA